GCTAATGTCTTCGGTCACATGTACCATTCTGTCTTCAACTCACGGCTGCATAAATGCCTACTGGGGGTGTTGCGCTAAAACGGGGAAATTTCGGTGAAGGAACCAAAAGCAGTGACGTAGCCAGAAATTCTATTCCAGATTGGGGGACAGAAGGAGCATAACATATAAGTTAGAGACTAGGTCATAAATGTAGCAAGTTTCGTAGCCTGTACTAGCAAAAAAAAAAAAAAATCACAGCATATCCACGAACTGAATGATGATGAGTGGGGCGAAGCGTCCGTCAGTGCGTGCGACCTGCCGTCCGTGCGTCCCTGCGTCCGTCAGTCAGTCTGTGCGTTCGTGCATCTGTCTGTCCATCCGTCCGTGAGTCCGTCCGTCCATCTAGTGAACACTTTAAGTACCACCATCTCGCATCTTTTGATCATATATTCATCATATAGAAGCGCCGCCATCTAGCGTACATTCCAAGGACTAAACTACCTATTACTATGGCTACCTATTACTATGACGACGACCACTACTATCACTGCATACATCGTGGACGCGCGGAACCACAGCGTAAGAAGCTTCGCCTCTAAAAAAAAGAAAAAAAAAAGAAAAGAAACCCTGGGTAGGATAATGAGGAGGACGGTGATTATACGACTGACGTCACACTGTCACACCCGCGAGTTCAATTCTCCCTGCTTTTTTTTTTCTCTCTTTGTTAGTACAGCCTCTTGCTGGGCGAATTCGCTGCGAGAATAATGCGATAGCAGATGTCCGCGTTTTCATCCACTGCCCAGTGGCAGTCCGCACGACCCTTCCCACCACTTCTGAAAGACTCACCGCGTATGTGTGCTCTGGCGAATTCGCGAGCGATCCTCGTAAGTGAAATTGTACTCTCAGCTCCTTCGCTCGCACTGCCGGGCGTGCGTGCCTTTTAATTGCAGCTGGTCTCGCGTGATTAAAAGTCCCGGCCGTCGTGCACCTTCGATTCGGCTCGCCCCCCGCTGCGTTTGGCCAGACCTCTTGAATTCTCGCATGGGCGCAGCCTCGCCCGCAGCGGCGCTATAAGTCTCCAAGCAAATACTTGGCCCCCGCGAGCTACGTGCGCGAGTTTGCCTATACATCTACGACGGGAGCCGAGGGGAAGAGCGCTGACATTCGGGCTCCGATCGGTTAATTGCAAACAGTGCGATCAATGCCGCGAAAGCTGTGGCCGCGGGAAGCCGTGTGAGCTAGCTGCCTGTGGCACCCCTTGTTGACCAGCCCCCACGCGGCTACCGCTAGAGGCCCTCGGCAAACTTGTAGTTCAAATATAACCGCGGAATCGATCACTCCACTTCTCGCAATGCTGCACAGAAACAACTATAGGAGGACTTGGGAATGCTTCACCAATATGGTTAGCTTGTGAGCGTGTGCATTTATACAGGGGGCAACTCGATTTCGCAGCGTCCAGAAGATGTTTAACTGGACCGCTGTGCACCTCTGATTGCCTTTCTTTCCTCCCTTTCGTCTTCTATCTTCCCGCTTAAGGTCACCGGAGAATGCAGATATGTGTTTTAAAAAAATAAGCCGAACGCTTTCGTGTGCGCGCTGCCTTGATTCAGGGAACATCGTAGACAGGTGGGAAAGAGTTACGCAGAGTTATTCTGTACGCGTGTATTTAATCATTTTACATGGCTATAGGCCACAACCTGTAGCAATTTTTCATATACAAATAAGATGAGTGGGCATGCATGCGTGTCGAGGTCAGTTTATACCGACAGCCAGAAGAGGCTCGGACAGCGCCAAGGATGTCATTTGTCTATAGCTGTGTAATTAAATAAAATAAAAAAATTTCTTTGGGTCTGAATATTTAAAGAGCAAATGATGTGAATCAAGGTGTAGCTATCCATAACACCCACTGAACCTTAATCTACAATAAATGTTGATTGACTTGATCTGTGGGGTTTAACGTGCGAAAACCACCTCATTAGGAAAGACGCAATCTACAATGAATGTATATTGCTTTCGAGAGGCTATAAACAAGAACAGCACGTTAAGGAAGCCAGAGGTGTTGCTGAAATAACGATAGTGTTATAAATATAGCCATATATATCTGCCAAACGGCTCCTTTTGGAGTTGCACATTGCGCGGAAATATATATATATATATATATATATATATATATATATATATATATATATATATATATATATATATATATATACACGCAATTCGTCTCATATTCGTGCTCAGCTTGGGTGCACGATAAAGATCCCGGGTGGTCGAAATTTCCGGAGCCCTCCACTACCGCGTCTCTCATAATAATATGGTGGTTTTGGGACGTTAAACCCCACATATCAATCAGTTTGTATCATATTGCTATTTTCTCCTCTATTTTATTTTTCGCTGCCCATCAATTGATGGGTGGAGGCGGCGATATTGAAGCACCTCCACCACTTGCGATGTAGTCCTTTACACGCCTTTATTAGACCTAGAAGACGTGGCGAAAAAAAGTCACCTCCGAGGCACAGAACAGACTGAAAAGCTATGTCCACTAACGATGAAGATGAGGAACACTATGTGATGATGTTTATGTACAGGTAATGAAGAAGCATGTAGTAAATGCCCACAATATCTTTTTCTCGCAGAAAAAAAATGGAGATCTGTCTTTTGTTTTTAGAAAGCTGAAGCAGCGGTCGAGCTTGGTTGAATCCTCTTCCTACTTTTATTGTTGTAAAAAGAAAACGCCGTTGTAATTGATGCACGTACAGGAACCAAAACGCTACAGTTTGTTGTTTTAGATGCGGAGCATCTTATACTCGCGCCTTGTAGTGCGCCGTCCGCGCCGTCCGCACCGCTTCTCGAACATTCGACAGCTGACGCGCGCGCATGCGCCGTCGCCCACTCTTCCACCATCTGTGCATCCCTTCCTCCTCTACACACCGCGCGCGCTTCACTCCTCCACCATCTGTGCACCCTTCCTCCTCTACACACCGCGTTCGACATCTACAATTCTCCTGATTCTCCAGTGGACGCGCATGTGGCGTCGCGCTTCGAGAACATTCAACAGCTGACAGTGCATGCGCCGTCGTGCTGTATATATACTCAAGGTCGGCGCTCGCTCGCTCAGTTGCCGCTCGTCGGTTGGTTTGTACGGCGCGTCGACGTCCAAGGTCGCGGTGAAATGAATTCCAAAGAATCCACAAACACAATGATCGACGTCCCTTCGACCAGCGCCGCCCTTTCGCATACGTGTGTACGTGTTCACCATTTAACACCCCCTCCTACAACCACGTTAACCAATTTAGCCATCGACCCAAGTAAGTCGCAATTTAACACCACATTTCACAACCACGTTAACCAATTTAGCCATCGACCCAAGTAAGTCGCACTTTAACACCCCGTTAACCAATTATATGCTCCGCATCCTCCTCAGTGTTCCCCCGAGGGAAGCTGCGGGCAATTTTTTTTTACCGTTTGGGAGTGAGCTCCGTGCACCGCAGTCAGTGTCTTTCGGTCATGGCCTGATATGAACATTTCACCGGTCGGTGGAGGGTTCGCTGTATACACTATACTGCAAACAACACGATGCCGTTCAGTGCACAGACTGAAAACAGCAATCGCTGCTGTAGTCGGTGTTTGAGATCGGAGGCATTTCGAGCTTGCTGCGCCTCACCTTGTTTTGCAGTGCCTCCGTGATACGCCGCACACGATGTGGCACGATGTCGCTTGATGATCGCATCACGATGTCGACATAGTGACGTCTTGATGACGTGACATCGTGGTGACGTCACATCACGATAGCATCACGTGGCACGCTAGTGCAAACAACATGGATCTTGTTGAGGAAAAGAAGACGCCGGGATTCGGCGCAACACCTGGGAACAGCAATCACTGGTGTAGTCAGGTTTTGCTGAAAAATACTGAGCCTGAATCCGTGTCAGAAAAAAGGACGAATTCAACGGCATCACGTACATCGTGTTTTGGAGGAAACCTCACCTTGGTGGTATATATGAGGAAAAATTCTGGGTCTGCGTAACTAACTACCCGCGCTGCTAAGTAGGTCTTACTTTGGCGGTCTTACTTTACTTTCCAACGCATCGTGCGTCGCACAGAAGGGCGTCGCCTGCTGCCGCTCATACGCCGAGCAAGTCATGCGTGGCTGTTTACAGCAGACGCGGCACGTTACATCGCAGGCGCTTTCAGCACGTCCTGATTTATTGCCTTCGACGTACGAAGGCAGGACCCAGCCTGTTTTCCGGGGCTCTCATTGGTTCGTCCATGAGGCGTTCCCTGGCGCCGACCTTCCGCGCAAGCGAGTGGAAGGTGGAGATGAAGCGAACGGTGTCGTGCAGCGATATAACAAACTGAGATTGCTAGCGCCACATGAGCCCGGATCGTTATGCTTTGATCGTTCGATCTTGGTCACACGTGTATACGGATGTAAACTCCCCGTTTCTAAAATATCCACGGGAAGAACTTCAATTACCGTTGCACCTCGCGCGCACTTTGCAACTCTATTATTATTATTATTATTATTATTATTATTATTATTATTATTATTATTATTATTATTATTATTATTATTATTATTATTAACGTCCCAGGGCTGCGATATGACAATGAGGTACGCGTAGTCAAAGGTTCCGCAAGTTTTGACCACCTTGGGTTGAAAGTAGGGTCGACCTAAATCTCAGCACGCAAGTCACTGACATCGGAATGCGGCCTCCGCGGCCCGAAAGTTTGATCCCGCTACCTTCGGGTCTGCAGACTACAGACGTGATGAAGTCGAACTTGTAATTGTTGGCGATCTCCACCTTCCGCGATGTAGTCAAAGGAGCGCAATATCGTGCAGCCCTCTTACATCCTCTAATTAAAAATTCTGCACTGATTGACTTTACCTTCTTCCGTCAAGTTTACTGAAACGGAGCGACAGCTTTATCCTTGATGTTCACAAAGTAGCGTAGTTGTCCTCGAGGTACGAGTCAGTGCAGCAGTGTAATGTTAACCCGGGCACTCTTCTCGTGCTGCAGTCCAACCCCGAGGAGGAGGAACTGAACGAGTCCGAGTACGGCGGCTCCGGTGACGACGACGAGGAGCGCCGGACGCCGCTCGACGGGGAGCTCAGCAACGACGACGAGCCGTCCGACGTGCTGGCTCGGTTCCAGTCGCACAACAACAGCGGCAGCAACAACGGCGGCAACAATGGCAGCGTCCGCAGCCGACAGGACGACGGGTCAGTAATAACATTGACGACGCTCGGCCTGTTACATTTCTGCGGCAGGACCATCGATTACTCGTCGATAAGGTTCGGGGCCAAGCCTTGCACACTATACGTGTCCCACATTTAAGTTTGCTTCTGCAGATCCTTTGTACATTTGCTTCATTCACGCATGCTTTCACAATCAATAACATTGATTGATTGATTATACTACTTCAGGAACAAAATTGGACTGTCTGACTCAGCATTTTGTGCCCAATGTAACGTCGTTGAAGACATCAAACATGTCTTTTGTGAGTGTACGAAATACGCATCAGAGAGAGAGAGTCTCTGAAGATGGGCTTAAAAATGCATCAGGACACAAATTTGGACTTGAAAAACATTCTAGGCCCATGGCAGAACACCTCCAGTGCGTTAGACTCTACAAAAGCGCTACTGACGTTCTTACGGGCCACAGGCTTGGACAAAACGTTGTAAATTGTACAGTGCGTGTGAGAGACTTTATGTGTTATGCGACTGTTATGCGTGTATGTACCTGGATATGTTGTGTGTCTATATCACTGTCATCACCCGGCAACTGGAACAGCCTGTTAGGTGAAAAACCAGGCAAACCTCTCCAGCTTCCCATTAAAATAATTCTCTCTCTCTCACTTATAAAGGGGTAGCTTTTTGCAAGCGATGTTTCTGGGCGGGCTTACGCAGTATGAGCAACAATTCCGTCAAGCTAGAATGTAATTTCTTTGATCATTGGCGTCATTTCGCGACTATAACGGTTAGATGCCTCGTTATTTGTGTCGTTCAAGTGGAGCGTAATCAATCAGCCGAGACTGCTGTTACAAATGGCTGCGCATAAACGGATGCGAAGCCTTTATGCGCAGCCGTCCGTTTCTTTTTTTTTTGTTGATATGATATATAAGGAGATGTTGGCGCATCATTATGGCGCCGGCTACTCCTGAATAACCTCTCGTCCGTGTCTTGAAAAGCTGCGTCTCCCCGTGCAGGAGTCCCGTCCCGCTGGCCAACAACACCGGCAGCAGTAACCACTCGAGCAGCACGCCTCCGGCCACGAGCAATGGAACGCCGCACGGTGGCCTGTCCAGCGAGCCACGCATCCCGGCTCCCAACGCCGTGGTCTCTTCGTCGCCGGGTCCCATGCGGGTGCTGGACTCCGGCCCGCTCAGCGCGTTGGCTGCGCGGGCTGCGGCGGCGAGCGCGGCCGCGGCGCTGCCGCTGTCGGCGGCCGCGGCCATCCCCGGAATCCCGCTGTCCCAGGCCCCGGCGCTGTTCGGCTTGGCTACCGGTGCCCCGCACATGATGCACCTTCCGCCGACGCTGACGCCTCACACGGCAGCCGTCTCGGGAGCGTCGCAGGAATCCAAGTACGCCTTCGAGGAGCACTACGGAAAGCATGTGAGTATGTCGCGTCGCCGCTTTGTTTTTAGGAGATGCTCGCAACAGTTCTGCCGGCGTGCGCAACTCGTAAACTGACTAAACTTGCGTAACCGGTAATGGGCTGTTGAAGTGTTTATCCAATGAAGTCGCGACACTAAGCAGAGAGACAGAGAGAGGTATTAGGAAAAAGGAGGGGACTTCAACCAAAGGTGTCGATTCCAGTGCTTGGCTAGAAGAAAAAAAAAGAATAAAGTGAAATTGTAGTAAGAGCGGACTATAAAAGCGCGTGTACGAAGTAAGAAAAAAAATTGAAGAGACTGTCGACGTTGTCCACTGCGCTAACGTTGTCCCCTGTTTACACTGATATTGAGCGTTCTTCATCCGAAGTGCCACAGTATTCACGCGGGAACTGGCTCTGTCTTCTTTACTATTGTCATGCAGGGTAGGCAGACCAAATACCAGTGCTAACGCGCGTGCCTGCTCTTCTAAGTGCAGTGCGCAAGCTCTCGCTTTACGTGCGATGTACCAGAACTACCGATCCGTTCATTCGCGAGAAAGATGGAAGAGATCCTTCTTTAGGAGCGCAGCTCCTTAGGGCCCGCACTCCGCCGTCGCCGCCGTCGAACCTCCCCGATGCATCACCGCTCGCACCCCTCTCCCATCTATCTTTCTCTTCTTCCGTCTCTGCCCTCTACGGGCCGTCACACGCGCTTGCCGCACAGCCGCAACGCACGTGCCGAGACCCCTGCCGCACGCAAGCGGGCGACAAATAAGCCAATTGGCGACGCTGCGGAAGGTGAAAGAGCGTCGCCAATTGGTTTATTTGTCCCCCGCGTGCGTGCAGTAGGGGTCCCGGCACGTGAGTTGCGGCTGTGCGGCAAGCGCGTGGAACGGCCCTACCTGAGCCTCCCCTGAAGCCGGCGAACGCGCGAAACCATCGCTTCGCCCTGTGCCCTGTCGGCAGCCAGTGGTTGATCCGTGTCCTGGGCGGACTAGCGCTGCGCTGCGCGCGCCGCACATTCATCCGCTCAGTCGTTCCCGCCGCCGAGTGCAGCAGACGTTGTTGTGCCCACCCGCTCGTCATCCTACCGCCTTCATCAAAGCCAGTAGTGATATCAGGAGCATTCACGTCCCATCCCGAAGGAGCTTCGTTCATCAGCTGCATTTGATCACTGAACTACTGCTAGTTTTTTTTTTTTTTTACATGGGTCACTTGTTGTGGTCGAAATTCACATTTTATCTATCCATTTACGCCTTCCACACACCTTCATTAGTCCATCATATGGCGCACTGTGCGTTGTGAGTTAGCTGAATGAGAGCTTGAAGTTTTGCGAAGCCGCGAATACGCATTTCTCAAGTCAGATGTGCATAAAAAAAGCATGTGCGAACTGTTTTGCTATTGTAAGTACATAAGTTAAGTGCGCAAAGGCAGTACCGTGCACGAAAAAGAGTATCCCCCCCCCCCCCCCCCCACGTTTTCTAGTTCACTTACTTCTCTTCTTGCGTGCTCTTTACACTGCACTATCCTGCCCTATCACTGCGACTCTGTGCCTTTGTTTTCCTGCTCTTCATAAAATTGTGGGTTCGACCGCCTACCACGGCGGACACGTTACAATGGTGCACAGATGAATGAATGAATGAATGAATGAATGAATGTGACTTTTATTAAAGGAAAGGACGACTCTTGGCCGCTGTAGGGGATGAGGTTGGCGAGGGGCTTAAATGGTGAGGATCACCTTCACGTCACGCCTTCGCACGGGTCAGGTGACCTCTCCTACACTACTCGAAGCAGGACACTTTGACTCGGAGCGCACCTCAGAACACCGTTGACATTTACACTGAGGCCACGATCAGCGATGAAGAAGTGCAAAAAAAAAAAAAAAGGCAGATTCCACGTACAGTCAGAATCGATGATAAGCGAAGCACGAATAAGAAAGCTTGACATGTCACTTCAACAACAGCACAACATTGCGAGGTGGAGGTAAATGATGCCGTACATGACTTCCGTGTCATGATTATCATGTTTAAATGTGTCGTTTACCTTCGTAATCTATTCACGTCACGTGATACTAAATTTAGTATAGAGCAAGCGAAACGGCCGCGAGCACGCTATAAGCGTGGTATGTTGTCATGTTCTTACATGACCCGCGTGTCAGGATTATCATGTTTGCGCCAGTCATATATTTCGTCATTCATTCGTAGTATAGTCGCAGTATATCGTAGAAAATCGTAATCAATCGTAGTGTACCATACTACGATAGATTACGCTTTTACTCTCCTTTCCCCTCTCTTACCGTTGCATAGCGTAGCTATACTCGGCTTCTCTTCTCTTTCAGCTTCTCTCCCACCCGCCTTGTCAGTCTTACATGCTCGATAAACGGTGCTACTCCCAAGCTTCGAGCAGCAACTCTATTAAAAAAAAAAAAAGGGCCTCTTCGGATAGAGTGTTTCCCGTGTACTTGAAAGGAAGGTCACAGGCGTTCAAAATAGTTCAGCACTCATTGTGGTGTCTCCCGTGTACAACGCGTCGCTATTTTCGTGCATACGTTGAAATGATTGATTAATAATTGCTGTAGCGTTGCGAGATATCACGTCGCGAAGCTCGCACGATTCACATTCAAGGGCTGCATCGAGTTCGTGACGTAGAGCCGAACACGTTTCGGGCGGCAACTGGTGGAGACACCTTACGTGCCCCGGGCGAAGCTCGAGCAAGGAGATACCTTGCGCCGCACGTTCTCCCGTCAGCTGACCATCTCGGCTGGTGACGTGCGCGTATAAAAAAATGACGAGCGCAGCAGCGGCTGCTGTGCCTCTGCCAGCATTCAGGGTCAAAGACCTGTTTGCATCCCAAAGTCTGTGTCGTCGTCTGCCAAGTGAGCAAACACTTCTCCTCTCCCGTCGAGCACCGCCGGCGCCTATCTATCGAAGAGCGTTTTGCCGCGCACACTATCTGCGGCGCTTGCTTCCTATATGCCGCCGCGACAAGCTGGAACCCCTATCAGTGAATGACATCGAGATCGCTCCCTCCGGGCCGCCCGAGCGAGAAGCGTTGCCCGTTATTCGTCACGAAAACTGTTAACTTCGGTCGCTGCACGCGTTAGTGACGATCAGTTTAATGGTCACGAAATGAAACAGGCACTGCTGCTAAATATAGAAAGGAAGGTTTGTCATACGCTTGGGGCCCAACCCCCAGCAGAGGATTTTCCACGGCAAAGTTTCTCTTGCAGCGCAGCTGCATCTGTGGACGCCGTATGATTTGCCACTTGGTACTAGAGCGTCATAATGGCATTTTGCGGAAGATTCATTTTAGACGCGCAATATATATATACATTGAAATAGTAGGGATTTCTTTAAGGTTGAGGATGCTTTACACCGATGTCGCGATGCACTGCTGATCGCGATGAACCCGAACTGGCACCAAACTTCTCAACACTGATTGGCTCCTTTTTACGGATTGCCTAGTTGAGCCAAATGCTACGTTATATTCGATCTATATCATTCCCTATTACGATCGAGTGTACTCGTGTGATATCGATTCTACACGGTCGACATATTGAATGAGCAAACGAGGTCCGTATGAGGCTCCGCAACAGAAATGCACAGGTAACCTGGTAGGAATGTAAATGCTTTCATAGTTTTTGAATTTGGACTGACCCCCTATCGTTCGCGCCTCCACCACATACGGGAAGCTACTATAGAGTGCATAAAGTTGTAGGGGCTACTGTGGTGCGGCCATGCCGCACTGCACTGTGGCACAATGCTTGGAGTGATTGGTTACTAATACCATCTGGGGTTTTACGTCCCAAGACCATGATATGAGAAACGCCGGAATTTTCGACCCTCTGGTGTTCTTTAACGTGCATTGAAATCGCACAGTACACGGGCCTCAACCATATCGCCGTCATAGAAATGCGACCGCCGGAATCGAACCCGCGACCTTCTGGTGAGCAGCCGAGCATCGTAGCCACTGTTCCACTGAGGTGGACAGGAGTGGTCGGTCAGCGAAGAATATCCATAAAAATAAGCAAAAATATGTCTTCTGACCAGGACGTGGCTTCTTTTATGCCGGCGTTTATCATTGGTAACAAGACATTGGCCGTTGTAAAGGAATACGCCTGCTTAAGTCATATGTGGCGACTGAAGATACGAACCAGGCCACTCTCCTCGTCGTCTCACCCGTGTTGCTGCGTGTATTTTCGCTCTGGAGTGTATTATGTATGCCCCCGTCGCAGTGGTCTGGTAGTCATGGCACTCGACTGCTAACCCGAAGGTCGTGAGATTGAATCCCGGCTGCGGCGGCTGCATTTTCGATGGAGGCGAAAATGTTTGATGCCCGTGTGCTCGTAAAAGATACCTTCGCAGGTGGTCGAAATTTCTGGAGCCCTCTACTATGGTGTCTCTCATAATCATATCGTCATTTTTGGGACCCCAGATATTATTATATGTTATCTATTAAGTATGGAATGGCACTAGCCTGTTACCATACGTTGCACGAACTGTGAGACTGAAGTAACTAAGATAAGAATAGGGTGGCGCTAGACATTTTCAGATCATGAAGTGAAACAAACTAGGACCCCTCAAGAGAAAAGTGTATAACAGCTGCATCTTACCTATGCCTATACACGGGGTAGAAACCTTGAGGCTTACGAAAAGGGTTTAACTGAAACTGCGGACGACGAAGTGAGCCCTGGAAAAGAAAATGATAAATTTAGTGGGACAAGGAAAGAGCAGAGTGAGTCAGGAAACAAACGCGTGTCATGGGTGGAAAGATTTTGTTAGCCCTTCCATCGCACTGTCCATATAAAAGTCAACCCGATGGGCCTGCTCCTAAGTTTTAGGATAGTTTAGATGTGTTGAAGGTACCTTTCAAATATGACAAGCTTGATCTGGCGTTATTGATTCTGTGCGAGTCGCTTGGCCTCCATTGTTCGGCGTTTCTGAGAAAGACTGGCCCTCCGGGGCGCTCCCCCTCTGACGCAGTTTTCCATCAACAACCTGGCAGCCGCCTGGATGACTGA